GGCCGCTTCAAGCGCTGCAAGCGCCCGCCGCAGGTGACGCCACTTCTTGTACTTTACTATTTAGCTTCAGATTCGAATAGATTCAACTCGGAGTACTCGGACTACATTCTCAATTTTTAGGCTGAGAAAAAAAGTTTCAGCTTTCCATTTTATTAACTTGTACCAACAACTTATTGTTCCAGAGTCTGCAGTACCAGCAGTCTGACACGCAGAACAATTACGAAGTGGATCAGAACGTGCAGCCGGGCCAAGAGTCTTTGTGTTACTACCCGCTGGCGCAGGAGGCGCAGCTGCCGGTGGCGTACAGCCAGCTGGTGGGGGAGGCGCACGGCGTGCTGGCGCCGTGGCCGGAGTTCGGGGGCGGGGGCGCGGGCGCGGGGCTGCACTACGCCGGCAGCGAGCTCGCCACCAGTTGAGGACACCCCTCAACACAAGACGTGAGGTGTGGTTAAAGTAAGTTATCTTACAAAACTCTTCTACTTGCCCTAGATACGCTGGATCTTTTATTTCATAAATGTAGTGAATGATCAATTTTGTAATGCCGGAATGGTGATGTTTATTTTTAATTTACATTATTCCTATCCGTCCAAGTATTTCATGACATACTTTTTTCAAAAAAATAATTAAAACGTATTTATTCCATAATTCTTTGCAAATGCAATCGCCACAACCCTGATTTTGTAATTGTCGTAAGTGGCGCCGCGTGGTAAAAAAATAACTACAAACGTTGGCGCTTATACCGCCATCTATATTCGCACTAATCTAATTCTAATCTTGAAAACTGAAGCAATAAAACGATTTTCTAAAATGTAAATAATTTATACCATTACTCATTTAGGTTGTAAATATTGTGAATCATAGACATACAAATATTTTTGATGTTATTATTTTTAGTTATAAAATTTAATTTTTACGCATTTCGGCAGGCGTAATTATTTAGGAATTAATACGATATTATGTAGTTACTTTAATTTTGTAAGAGCATGACGCTCATATGGTTAGTGAGATATTAAAACTTCTATAGCATTTAGTAGACCGCTACTGCTAGAGTAGACACTGCCGTTGTGTGCGCAGTGGTAAGTCGTACTAGTGATGGTCAACACGAGTTGGGCGTAACTCGAATTGAATTCTCTTTACCTCGAGTTAGAAAATCGAATGGAACCGACATGGAGCTAAGTTTGACCTCTGTGAAGTTAGCCCCCTCACTTCCTTTTTTTTTTACCTTTTTTTATGCAAATCGTTTAAAAATTGTTAAAGAGGGTTTGAGAGAAAATAAAGTCGTTTGAGAGTTCTTCCGTAAAAGAAATTTAAATTTTTAACGTGAAGTTGGCCCCCACACTTAATTTTTTTTAATTTTTTTCACACAAATCAGTAGAGAATCGTTGAGAAAAAGACTGCTGTATAATTTCAGTTTATCTGACAGTAAATTTTATTTTTATATAAATTGAAGCCAAAAATACTTGAAAAACGATTCGATTTGAAACAATAACTTTTTTGTTTCTTTATTTAATAGGTATAACTATCCCAATACATTTTAAATAAATAACATAAAAAATAAAGAATTGAAACAAATAAAAATATAATTTGTTTATTCCAATTTTATGCCAAGCCGAGGGAATAATTTGGAAAAACTCAGAAAAACATTTACTTGTCCATCCAGGTAACTCGAGTTCAACCCGAGTTACGTGGACTCGAGTTACGTTTTTCCCGAGTTGGCACATCACTAAGTCGTACGCTGCTACAGCCGTCGAATTATTCCACGCCATTTTTCTTTTTTAAATGTGCATTATTACGTGTAAATGTAAATTATCTTTTATTTACCTCAAATCTACTGTCTTTTTTATTTTGTCTCTGGTCACAAAGACGCTTTTGAAAACTTTTTATGATATTTTTGATTAATTCTTAAATATACTAATTTACTACATGGCGTTTTGAAATTACTTTTAAATGAGTACGTAGCTGTTTCTTTATGCAAAGATTTTTCTAACGAAATCTAGATTTTTCATAAGGAATACAACGCAATAACTTGTGTCTGAAATTTAACGAAATACGTAATTTTGTGATAGAATAAGTTTGAGATTGTCCCCGATGTTAGGATAATTAAGTATTAGTAAACATTATCATTAATAATACTTTTTTTTTTATTTCATAGGAAATTACAAAATATTTTATGATTTGTAAGTAATTGGTTTTAAGAAAGAGTAAGTTAATTACGATAGTTTGTAAAAACGAATGATTTTTTCATACACGGAAAAAATTTTCTTCCATTTCTGCTGTTTCAGAGTTGTGATATTTTTTACAAGACGTTGTTTTTATATAAATGTACTGTGTTATCGTGTGTGTTTTGGTTACCTATATGATTTTTATATTTCCTTTATTAGTATTTGTACTATGTTCTAAATAGCAATAATAATTTTGTAACATCATTTAACTAGTATATGAAATATATAATTATGATCTAGTCTTGTCGTTTTTTTCCTTTTGCATCCAATTTCCCTTATCAGTTGTATTGAGTCAAAGATTTGTTAAATTCCATCTATTTACGCAGAATAGACTAACTATTTGTAATCAAACTCTTTGTTTACTTTTTTGCTACTTATATAAAAGCTTACAAAATATCTCCAACTATAAGGTATATTTCTTCAGGGGTAGGGGAATTTCTAAATAAAGTAGCACATTATTTGTACATAAAAAAGTCGCTTTATTCATTATCTACAGTTAAGTTATAAAATAAATTACATGATGATATCTGCTTTTCGGCAGCGGAGTCTTTTTGTATAATTTTACATAAACCTTTTCGTACAACAAAATAAAAAAATGTGATCGAACGCTGTAGTTCGTAAGCCACTAACGTATTATACATATCATTAAATTAAAACGCATTTACATATTTGCAAAAAAGTTTGAGCTGCCATTTTATGTCAAATAATAAATGTATGAAATCTCATACAGACTTATTAATAAAATACATTATGTAGTTTCAACTACTCGTCAACAGTTTGTTAGCCGTATACAAAATTTAGCGCAGCGCCATCTATTACAATTAAACAATTTAATAACATTATCCGAGTTACTCGCTAGATGGCTCTGTTTACATTTTTTAAATTACATTTCCAACTCGCGGAGAATCATCCTAAAGTGAACGAACATTACAAGTAAAAATGTCTATAAAATTAAAAAGACTATCAAAGAGATGAAAGAAGCACTACGTCTCAACACACATCAGTAATTTATTTTATTGTCTATGAAAAATTTTCGAAAATGGCAGTGAATTTTATCAGCATTATACAAGAATCGATCTGATGCGCGCTATCTTCAAACAATTTGGTGGCAGACGAAGAACTACATATAAAAATCTATACAAGACACATTCAAATTGATCGAAGATGGCGCCACCGGACGTGGGAATAAAACATCTTACTGATACATGTGTATTTCTTATTTTTGGCAAGATTCATTTTGTCCGTTCAATCGTCGGCGAGGATTGAATACAGTCGTGCCTACGGATGTATCTTAGGAGCTAAGTGGACATATTCTATGTATATTTTGCACGGTTCCATTCCTAAACCCTACAGCTATAAATATTTGACATAGACATTCAATTATTTAACAAGAGATTTTGTCGGGGGAATGATTTAGTGTTATATTGTCTGTAAACATATTTACATCTGGAATATACATTTGTAAATCAGTCGAGGCTTCGAATCGAAGACGGTTACGTGCGCGTCGAGTGCCGGCGGAGCTAACAGTCTATATAAGTTATTTCTAGATTAAATAGATCTTTATTTTTATTAAAAGTAAACACTGTTAGCGCGGTCGCCACTCGGGCGCACTTTGTCAAACAATCTTATAAAATGTAACGAGGTCTGCCTTCTGCTGGAGACGTGCTACCACTACAGTATTATGTCGGG